CTTAATTACTTTTGAAATTTCTTCAGGTACAAATTTCAGCGGCTCAAATTTTGACACATTGGGTACGGGTGGAAGTTGAAAATTATTAGTTGCGGGGTTTGGCCTAAAAACATTTTTTAGATGAGAAGCAAAGGTGTTTGCTTTTTCTGCGTCACTCCGAGCCCATTTGCCATTGTGGTCCCGTACTGGCATTTCAGTCTCTATTGGCGCATTTAGCTTGTGGTGTGCTTTCCATAACGAGTGCTTTGTGCTAGTCGGTGAGAGCTTTTGGATGTACCGGTACTGTGCGTACTGTTCCTCGTTCTTGAGGGCTCTCGTCAGTGCATGTGTGGCCGCCTTGAGCAGTTGTTTTGATGCTGGTGATCTATGAGTCTGCCATATCCGTCGTAGGCGTCGTTTTTCCAAGACAAGCATTTCAATTTTCCTATTGGTTAAATTATATTTTTTATTTTGCACATAACCTTTCTGGGGTGTGGAAATGCTAGCGGCTGCTCTAAGTGTAGATTCAAGAGCGGCTATGGAGTTTTCAATATCGGTCGGCGTATCTAAATTTGGATCGAGGTCTATATGCGCACTGATATATTTTGTATACTTTAACCAATTTGTAGCCCTTGTCGTGAGCATATAGGGTGACTCTTTTTCTTGCGGCTGACAAGGTGAAAAGTACAGGTGAGTGGTCTGATGAGAGATCTGCAACTGATTCTGTACTAATAAGGCCGCGAGGAATTTTCCTTGTCACCGCAAAGTCAATCAAATCTGGAAACTTTGGCGGGTCTGCCGGCCAATATGTAGGCTTTCCAGGAGAAGCGTAATCGAGTTTGTTTCTTATACATATAAGCGCGTTATATAATTGCTTGCCTTTAGGGTTGGACAAGCGTGAGCCCCAGTGAGGGTGCTTCGCATTATAATCACCTGCAGCAAGGAAGCGCTCTCCCAGCGAACTGAAGAAATCCATAAACTGTTTTTCTGTTATCGTGAAACGTGGGGGACAATAAACCGCGGACAGCGTAATATCACCTTGCTTTGTTTGTACGCATATTGATGTTGCTTGCAGATAATTCTCGGCAATTCCAGTCAAATGATGGTGTTTAATCCGGTTTCTGACTAAAATACCAGTTCCGCCATGCGCCTTTCCATCTGGATGATTCGTGCAATAAAAGGTATATCCCGAAATGTCAAAATTATATCTATTAGTTAGGTGTGTTTCAGCAAGGAGCATTATGTCAATTTCCTTGTCCTTAAGAAATTTTGACAGCTCTAGTTCGTGGCGAGGAATGCCATTTGCATTCCAGAGGGCTATTTTAAGTAAGGTCATTATCTTGTTTGCTGAGTAGCAAGCAGGTTGAGCAGCGTATTTTGATTTCGCATGAGTTCTTGCATTGTGTTTTGCATGAAAGTCATGAAATTCATCATGCTTTGTTGCATCGACGCTATCATAGCTTCGATATTGGATTGTTTACCATATTGTGCATGGGGATGCTGTTCTTGCGGCGCAACTTGAGGTGCAGTTTTTGTAGGGGCACGGTTTTCTAAGCCTGATTTTAAGGCACTTGCAAACGAGACGCCATTGACGGTGTTTGATAGAACTGTTGGCGACGTGGCTCTTTTGGCGAAGAAGACGTCAGGATTCGTTTGGGAGGGTACAAAGGCATTCGGTACATTATGAGTACGTATGGAAGCCATGCGTTGGTTGATCCGGTTTTTTAACTCCTTATAGACTGGACAGCCTCTGTAGTTTGCTGTGTGATTTCCACCGCAGTTACCACATTTTTTTGCACGCGGGTCTTCTTTGTTTGATGTGCAAGTGGCAGAGACATGTAGCTCTCCACAAGCTACGCACACTGAGCGAAGCGTGCAGTAAGACCTAGTATGACCATACTCCTGGCAGTTGGTGCATTGTACAGGGCCATTTCTCTCATGCGGTTCTTCCACAGTTATCCTACGATACAGCAGATATTGTAATTTATAAATTGGATGCACATCGTTTTTGCCCAGAGGTTTGTTTTCAGGCTCGAGCTCAACTTTAAACATAGGTTGAGGGATTTTGTTCCTATTAAAAATATTCACAGCAGCTTTTGGATTGAAACCTAGTTCTTTAAGTGCTTCCAAAACTTCCACAGCTTCAACGCTTGGTTCGATACCTTTAATTACAATTTGTAGACCTTTTGCACTTTTAAGTTGGTATGTATAAAATTTTGTGTTTGTGTCATTCAGGTATTTGGACACTGTTCGAAAATCCTGTTCGGAATAAATTTGTACTTTAGTTTCGCGAATATTTCCCTTAGATAGTGGGATAATATGAAACTTATTACTACCGATTAGCTGTGTGAATTTTTTTACAAGAGCGCTTGGATTCTCTTCTCTCTTCAGAAATTTGGCTATTCACATCATCGGCATCATAGTAGTTGAAGTACTTATCTAAGGCGGCGGTGACCTCTCGGGTGCTGGTCGAATTAGTTGGATATATTTCTACAAACTTCGTGAAAGCGTCAACTACTACTATACTAGATGTACTTCTAGATGTTGTCCTCCATTTCGCCTGGAACACAGACTCGCCTACTACCGTCCTCCCGTAGCCTACATACGAGGCCGTCCTGCAAGTCAAAGTCTTTTACCTTCCCCGTCAACAATTTCTCACGAATATCTTAGATTTTCGTCTCGTTCTTGAGCTACCTGTACCCGAAATTCTACGTCGACCGTGTCATAATCCACCGCCATAACACAGCGGCTCAGGGTGTCTACATGTCTCATGGCAGTGCCTCTGCGGTGTACAACTTTATAATTATAATTCTCTAGCTCCAAAGCCCACCTGGTTATCCTAGCATTAATTTGTTTTCTTTCGAGAATCAGGGCAAGGGAGTTACAGTCAGTTACTATCTGAAAGGGGATCCCTTCTAAATACGGCCGGAATCGTCGTAGGGCATACACTATCGCGAACGTCTCTAACTCGAAGCTGTGGTATTTCGCTTCGGCGGCTGAAGTGGTCTTGGAAAAATATGCCACCGGGTGCATTTTCTTATCGTCTTGTCTTTGCAGTAGGATGGCCCCGAAACCCGTTGCGCTGTCGTCGCAGTGTAACTCGGTCTCTCTCAGTGGGTTGTAGATTGACAGCCCCGGGGCCCTCGACAGTTCCGACTTTAACCTCTGGAATGATTCTATGCAATCGTGGTCAAATAAAAAGGGCGTGCCCTTTTTCAATAAGTTCAGCAAGGGCCTAGCGATTCTGGAGAACGAAGGTACAAAACGTCTGAAGTACGAAAATAGCAGGACTGTAGCTCTTTATAGCTGATCGGCATTGGGTACTTCTTGATGTCATTGGTATGTGACTCGCTTAACGTGATTCCAGCGGCTGATACCGAGTAACCCAGATATTTTATTTTACTGTAACCGAACTTACACTTTGACAGATTTAGCGTCAAGCCTCTTCGTCTTATGCGGTTAAATACCGTTCGCAAGAGATCTCTGTGTTCCGCAAAGTCAACTGTCGCTACTATAATATCGTCCATATATATTATGATTTTCCTACCTTCGATGAGATCACAAAAAATATTATTGATGAACCTTTGGAACACGGCCGGAGCGTTTTTTAAGCCCAAACGGCATTTTGAGGAACTCATACTGTCCGCCCGGGGTAACAAAGGAGGTATATTTAATAGAATCTGGCGAAACTCCAACCTGTTGAAAACCGTTCTTCAAATCTAGCACGCAAAATAGTTGTTTACCTTCCAGGTATTCTACGCAATCGTCTATGAGCGGTAGTGGGTAGTTGTCGCAGACAGTGATTTTATTTAAGCCTCGGTAGTCGACACAAAGGCGCAGCTGCCCATTTCTTTTCTTTACTAGGACTATCGCGGATGCATACGGCGAGTTACTAGGGCGGATAATATCTCTCGTCTCTAGGTCCTTTACAATATCTTGCATGGCTGTGCGTTCAGCAAAAGAGAGCCGACGAAGAGCACAGTAGAAAGGCACGTCTGAAGTTAGGTGGATATTTATTTTGTATTCGTACGGCTCTATCTCTACGTTGGAACTGATATACGATTCGTACACTACGGACTTTAATTGCTCTCGACAGGCTGACCCTAACGTAAGATCTATATCTATGTCGGTATCTCCACTACCGACCTCTATGTTAAAAATATCTGGCACTTCTGAGGTAGGACTGTCGCGGCAGGCTTACCCCAACGGACGGCCAATATTTACATGAACTTCATCAATACCTAATTCATAATTAAGAATATTTGGTGCTACTAGGTTAACGTCTTCACGGCAGGCAATATCTACATCAGCTTCTTCATTACAACGGTTAAAAATATCTGGTCCTGAACGGCCAACATCTACATTGACTTCATCAATACCTAATTCTGAATTAAAAATATCTAGCGCTGCTGAACTAACATCTTCACGGCTGGCAATATCTAAATCAGCGTCTTCATTAAAACGGTTAAGAATATCTGGTCCTGGACGGCCAACATCTACATCAACTTCATCAATACCTAATTCAGAGTTAAAAATATCTGGTGCTACTGAGTTAACGTCTTCACGGCAGGCGCGTCCCCCATGGTCTCTGGAAAGGCTGAACCCGTTGATAACATTAACCAATTCACCCGGCAGAGAAGTGCAAAGTTTTTTTGATTTTCTAACCGATTTTAATTCATTTATTGAATATTTAAATTTCACTTTTGTTAAACGTATTTTATACGTTTTTAGAAAATCGCGGCCCAAGCTTAGGGGAGTGTACATTTCATTGTCACGTAAAATATTAAGCTTAATTTTATTTAATTGATATCTGTAGTTGATGGTGCAGTCGACAACGCCTACTACGTTAATTCTTTTGCCTCCAACCCCAACGTAACTACGCTCCGGCTTATTAAATGTATTGAGGCATTTGGGGACGCAGGATTTCTTCACGAAACTAGTTGGACTGCCGGTATCAAAAAGAGAAACGAAACTGTTAAACACTGCACTTCCCACCGGGTCAATATCAAAGCAATACTTACTAAGTCTAAATTATCGAGTCCCACGACGTCTTCGTAATATACGGCATTTACTGGTTGGTCGGGCAGCGACTTCAGGCTCTTTTTCGGGTTGGGGCAGGAACGGTGGTCATGCCCCATCTTCCAGCAGCGGAAGCAAGATCCATTGGGGCGTAGGTCGTACGGGCATTTTGGCTTTATGTGCCCACGTTGACTGCAGTTGAAGCATAGCGCCATCGGCATTGCCCCGTTTTGCCAGCGCCTGCATAGACAGGATGTAAAAGTGAAAGGTCTCCCGTCGTCTGTCCCACCGCTTTCCTCCCAGCATCCGATAGATGTCATGTCTGCTAGTTGGGATGGCGAATTCCTCCATGAGGGCCTCCTTTAGCGTTTCGTAGCTTAGCGCCGAGGTAGTGGACAGGAAAAGTTTGGCGGTGCCCTCGAGCGAGCGACGTAGGCTTAAAAGCCTGAAGCGATCATCGGCTTCGACCGTCCTCATAATCTCCTCAAAGTCCGCTAAGAAATTCCCTATGGTTTGGGCACTGCCCTCTAAGCTGAACTTAGGCAGCGCGTGTTCAATATCGTAAAATTCTGCTTTGCGGGTGGAGCATGTTGGCGAACCTGTCTTCGAGCTCCTGCACTTGGCGTCTCAATTCCAGCAGTTGCTTTTTGCAATTCTTCTATCTGCTTTTCTAAAGGTGTCGTGGTTATCCCCTCGGCTGGGATGGGTTGGGCGGTTACGACAGTAGACCTACGACGGCGGCGGCGAACGTATGGGGCATGGCGGCGGTGGCGGTCATTCGGGCCGTGGTGTCGACCAGTGGTATTGGCGGCAGCGGCATTTCCATTAACTATGGCCGCAGTCCTCATGGCGGCATTAGCGGTGGCGATAGCTTTTCTGGCGGCGTCAGCGGCACGTTCGTCATCGTTCATAATATCGGCGGTGGCGGCATTGGTGGTGGCAACAGATTTATTGGGGGCGGCAACGGCACGTTCACTATCTGGGGGCCGGTCTCAGAGGTTGTGGTGGCAACGGGAAGTTTTTCGGCAGTGGCTGCGGCAGGCCGGGTGGTGCCCTCATTTTCGGCATTAGTTAGGGTGGCTGTTAGCGCGCTGGCGCCAAAGCCGGCGAAATCATCCACGTCTGCGGATACCACCCATACGGGATCCTCTTCTTCGGAGTTAGAGGCGTCATCCTCGTGCTCTTCGAGTTGGTGGAGTCCGGCGTAGAGGCGCTTTAGTTGGGTTAGGTTAGCCGACTTGGAGAAGCTTATGCCCGCGTTACCCAGTGCCTCAACTATCGCCTGCTTTGTTATTCGCTGTGACATTTCGGGTGAATAAGTAGTCGCGCTTGTGGTTCAAGTGCTTTATTTAGGTTTTTTGTCCACACCTGAGTTGTAAACTCCAATGATGTCCTACATTTTTCCGGATTTATTCCTTCGTGGTAAAATAGGCTGCAGCTCTCCTTTCAGGAATCGGTCAAAATGGCCGAGCTGTCAGATTTGATAGCTAAGGTTGCCAACGTTATGGATATTAACGCAGTGCTACCAATGGTAATTCTCTACCGTTTCGTTACTAGTACTTTCTTTGCGAATACTTTACAAAATTGATATATTCGTAAACGTAAATGTTCCAGCACGTTCAAACTTGATAATGACTAAGATGATGAATTTTCGTCAGAAGCAATTCGCACTTCAATCTGAATGTATTAAAAGGTTAGTTGATAGTTGAAGACTTATGTTGAGACAAGAAAACGCAATGCTTCTTAATTATCAATTGATGTTGCTGTTAATTCATCGTACCGCATAAAATAATTATTCAATTCAATCCAAAAAAATTAGTACAATTCGCGCTTTTCTTCTTTTAAAATGAATTTCAATTCTTAAAAACTTTGATCGCCAAAAATTTAGGATATATGTATATTTACATGTATTTAAGTTTATTTTAAAGTAAAAATATTTTAATGTTTAAACATTGAAAGTTTATTTATTAATAATCAAAAATTTTCTTTTTCAATAAACAAATTCATAGAACAATAAATTTAACTTCAAAAATTTAAACAAATGTAAAATTATACAGTTTAATTACCCTACAGTATGTAACTATTAAAATAAAAGTTAGCTTTACCTGAGTAAAGTTTCTATGAATTTCCTAAAAGAAAAGAATGTAAAAAATTTACCGTATTCTAATGTACGTGTGAGTTTTTGTACTATTCTAACACATGTTTATAGGAATTTTTCGAAGAAAGTTTTGATTCTGTTTGAGATTCGAAAAAGAAGATATACTTGTATTGGAGCATAGGTTAAATTGTTCCGTCAGGGTGTAAAATTAAAAAAAAATGGAATGAAAATTTTCAAAGACACTTTTCTCGACAAGCCCTGTATGTATGATTTTAATTTTTGAACTTTAGAAACTAAAACCAATACACTTTTAAAATTTGCAAGATTGTCCAATGTCCAGCAAACTTTCATTTAATCTCGATTCAGGCGCACCGTGACATATGTGCATATGGGACCTTATTTTCGATTTGTCGTAAGCGACAATGGGCAAATTTTTTAGGTCTCGTTTAATTCCCCATTACACAGTGTAATAATTTACTTGGATTTAAATGACAACATAATGGAATGTTAGCTTTTTAATAGGACCATTAATTTTTTGCGGACGCTGTGGTATAGTGGTTTAAAGTGCGCACTACCATTCCGCGGGGCTTGGGATCAAGCCCAGGTTCCGACTAACATCAAAAACAAGATAAAAAAACTTTTTCCTAATAGCGGTCACCCCTCTGCAGGCAATGGCAAACTTCCGAGTATATTTCTGCCATGAAAAACAGCTTCTCAAAAAATACAATCATCGTTCGGAGTCGGCGTACAATTGTAGGTCCCTACCCTTTGGGTGATAACATCAACGCGCACGCAACACATCGGAGGAGAGGCTCGGCCAAACACTAACAAACTATGAATATGAATGACTAACATTTTACGTTAGCGCCAATCTATTATTATTATTTATTCATTTGCGTATATTATTGCTTAAAGGTATAATCTCGCTTACGATACTTTTCGTGAACATGCTGAGAGGAAATTTTTCAAAGTATTGGCGCTGACGACAGGAGTACGGATACTTTAAGGATTGAGTGAATTTTAATCTACGCATATACATATACATATATACACTGCCACTCAGCAGAATAAAAGTTTTTCCGTTTTAATACACTAGTCGAGTGGAAATTTTAGGCAATGACGTGAAATTTTCGATACGATTCGACTTTGGAAAAACGACTTGCATTCGACACGACTCTCGCAACGAGGGTGAATACTATTTATTATTTGTTGACGTTTTTTAAAGGAATGAAAAAAAGTTAAATTGAATCCTACTATAGTTTTATTAAAAATTACCCTAAAATATTTGTCATGAAAAACATTGTAAATCTTATAAAATAGATCAGTGTGTGGAATTTTTTGACGCTGGCTGTTTATCTATAACGAATAACAAATAACAAGCTGTCAAGGTATACTACACAGGACCCTCTTGCTAGCAAAAATTACTGAATGCAGCTAAAAATTTGTGACGGATATGTGTGAATACAACTGCTATTTTGACTGTGATTGAACTGTGACGGTCGGTTCGGAACCGCGGTGGAACTGTGACGTGACTGATGTGCGCGGATAGATCTTTAGCTGGTGCTAAAATGACAATTTCGAAATCAGTGGCAATTTTTAATATACCAGTTCATAAATTAAGAATATAGGCCCCCTTAAGTGTATGTTGTTCATCTTTCTAATACGCTTCTAAATCTTAAAACCCCTTTGAGAGAGAAGCAGTTTCAAAAAAGATGCCTCCAGACGAGACTCTTATCGCCTTTTGATTGCCCCTTTCTCTTGTCGTGTTTGATTCTAAAACAAAGGCAAAAGGTAAGAGAAACTTTGTGTTCGTTTCTTTCAAATGTCGCACTCTTGTAAGGCAAAAAAGGCACATTGTCTGCCCATTGAAGCTTTGTCAGGGCAGATGATTGCCTTGAAAATCAATGGTTGCGCAAAACGAAAAAATTATGAAATGCGTTCGCTAGACAAGGACAGAAAGGCAAAAACATCCCAGCAAACACAGTCTCTAACGTTAGAGAAATTTGGATTTCTGCATTAGATAACTAGGGCAATTCTCTAATCGTTCTCGAGTCGATGACGAAGTTAGAGAACTACATTAGAATTCCATTCGAGAACGATTAGAGAAACAACGCAAATTCAAATAAATGTAAATAAGCTATATTCCAAATGAATGAATTATAAATTATTTTTAAGTTCAAATAATTCATTATTATTTTATTGTTAATACATTTAATACACATTTCGCAAACAAAGCATTTTATTTAACAAAGCAAAAACAAAACAGTTTGATTTTCACATTCGAATCCCATTAGAGATCAACATTAGAATTCGAGTAGAGAATTAATATTTTCTCGAGTCGAGAACTATGTCCCATTTTTGTTGAGATCCCTATGATTCTCGATAGTTTTTCGAATCGTTCTCTAACGTTTGAGATTGGAGAATGCAATTTCTTTTATTCCGCGAAAAAACTTGAACGGAGAAAATCTTTTCGAATGCACTTAAACTTTTTTCCCCTTTTGATCAGCGAGTGACTGTGGACGTGTTTTGGCGCAAACATATAGTTATTTTGAGGATCAACTTTTTTCTGCGCACTTGCACATTTGAATGTGCTGTACCTAAAAATTTTTTTTCTTGTTGAAGTGAGCATAAAAGCAATACTATAGCAAATTTTATTTGCTCGTTTGTTTCTCCGTTTGAGACCGCCTCTTGGTCAACTTTGGATTTAAAAGAACACCTTCCCTGTCGTGATAAGGAAAGCAGGTGAGTGGTTTTGCAAATTAAATTATAAGTTGTGACATTTTTTGGTGAACTATTCCTATGCGTTGGTTTTAATTAAAAGTAAGCCTGCCGCGTACGGCAGCAAAAAACACCTATGGCGTCCCCGTCATCGAGGGCGTCATCGGCTGACGAGTTCGAAGCCTTTGCGGGTGCCAATTTGGCCACGGGCGAACGGCTTAGAAAGAGTGCGGAATCCCATTTAATTAAAAAAAATTTGAAATCCCAAGAGCTGTGTAAACTCAATTTTGACTCAGGTGTAATCAGTGAGGTTAGGGTCGCAAAGTCTAGCGAAATAAGTGAAACGTGTGTAGATGTACAACTAGATAACGGGACAGGTATGAATACCGATAGCCCGCTAATGGATTTGACTAACGGACCGCAAGTAGACACAGTGGTGGCGAACAGCGTTAGCACAAATGCTAATAATGACACGACACTGTACCCAGCAAACTTTTCTGGTGTATATCTTGTATTAGTTGACTCGTCACAATGTGGTGACATGAATAACGAAAGAATCACTAGCGGTTGAACTCTTTTTGACAAAATCAAAGGTCATACACAATATGCCTGCAAATCTAAGAAACGTTGCATCAAGTGTGGTCTCACCACATGTGACGAAAATTCTTGCAAAAAAAAAATTTATTTTATGCGGCAGTTCAGACCATGTCTCCACAGATAAGCTCACTTGCGCGGCTTGGGAAAAGGAGCGCACCATTAACCATATTAGAACCGTTGAAAATCGTTTCGAACTTCTTTAAGTAGAGGATTCAGACTTTCCGCCACTCGCGTCTGAAAACGAAAATATCCAAAATAGAGACACTAACGTTAACAAAAAACTTACTAGGCACAAGTATAGCTCTATGGCACGCAGCCGCAGTTCCAGAAAGTACAAAGCAGTTCCAATGCAGCCAGCCACTAGGGAAAGTAGGGTAAGACCACCCAGAGATTCTGTGCTAGAAAAGCCAGAATACTTGAATGGAAGGGTAACTGAAATGGAAAAACTCTTGTCAGAATTGTTCAAGTTAATTAACAGTGCATGCGCCAATGAGCACATGCAAGGAGTCCTAGGGAAGGTTACAGCCCTAAAGCAACAATTTGAGCGTAATTCGATACAAAACGAGGTTGATATGATCAGTATGGGTACAGACATCCCCCTCAAATATACCATATGAAAATCTGCCAATATAACTGTCAATCACTAAAAGTTAACATTACCAACTTTGAATACTATTTAAATCATTATAACTGTGACATTGCATGTCTCAGTGAAATATTCACCTCCAATGAGCAACAACACAGAAACATTATCAACTACAATATTATAGAAAAAAACCGAGAAGATGGATATGGCGGCGTCGCCATAGTCCTTAAAAAACAAATTACATTTCAAAAATTAAATTTCCTCAATCCTAACTTAATTATCTGTGCAGTTTACTTTCCACTTACAGTTCCAATAAATGACTTTAAGAGCGAAATTCAGAGACTCCTTACATATCTTGAGCAGTTTAGCAATGTCCTTATTCTGGGAGATTTCAATGCTAGGGCGAGAGCGTGGGGGGATCACATTCAATCTTGTCGAGGAAACAACCTACATAAAATTATTTTAAACATAATTTCTGGCATTTAAATGACGGTTCGTCGACATTCACAAATGACATGCTGGCTTCTAATGGGTCAGTGCTTGACTTGTCATTTACAAATAGTAACATTCAATTTGTCTGGAAGGTCGACCCAATCAGGCTAGGAGGAAGTCACCATTTCCCCATTCTCATTGAGTCCACTGCGGTCATGCATCAGGGACGCAGGTTCCTATCCCAAAAAAGCTATTTGCCAATCTACAACTAACCAATTTCGATCCTAACTTTAATGACATACATAATCAGTTCCGAACGGAAATTGAGGCTGCCACATATACGCTCAGTGCCAACAGATCCCCAAAAGCTTGGTGGGATGAGACTTT